AAAAAAAAAAGTATCTTTATAATACTAGTAAATTATGAAACAATGACATTCTGGCTCTTAATACTAGAGATTTTGGTTTATTGAAAATAAGTTTCTAAGGAAGTATTGTTCTCAGCATTCTTACATCCATACATACACATATATACAACACAAGCACTGTTCTAAGGCCAACATTAGGAATACAATGAAACTTAAACAGACACCACAATTTGGTTTGTTATGAAGAAGAATTTCACTTAAGTTTGAGTTCAATTTTTTGGGGGGGAGGGTCAACTGTTTTGCTAGCAAGAAACCTATTAGAGTTAGAATACAGCATGGGAATGCTTTTAGACATTCTGTTCAAAGGCAGCAAACAGAATTCAAAGGCTATAGAAAAACTAGCAATGCTGGAATGATTAAATAAGGCATCAAAAGTAAAGACTGTGAATATGGAAGGAAAGAAGCAATGGCATTGGTAAAGGGGAAGGAAAACTTGATGACAGTTTATTGAAAGTGTGAAGAAAGTCACAGTGGGAGTAGGGGGACAGGAAGTTAGTAAGGTGTGAGAGGGGAAGCGTTAGTTAAGAAGCGGTGTTGCCACGTCAAGGCCCTTCCCCGCGAACACCGTAAAATGCTAAATGATAAAATGGTGATGAGAACTACATTAATGTTCAACTATTTGACAAATCTTGTAAGTGTAAAATACCGGTATGTATGATTCCTGGGTGTACTGCTGAGGCGATACGAAGAACGAGGTATGCTACGTAGGAAGTTTATCCTGAAAAGTTCACTTTTAGGACCTAAAGTTACAGCACAGTTTAATACAAAGAATATTAAGCTCAAATGTGAGGGAAACATGGTTTTTGTATTTGTCTAAAGGAGCTCTGGTAGCGTAGTGGTTACAAATCGGGCTGTGAACCGAAAGGTCAACAGTTTGAAACTCTCAGCTGCTCCGCAGGAGAAAGATGAGGCTTTCTGCTCCCATAAAGATTTACAGCCTTGGAAACCCTATTTAGGGTCGCTATGGGTCGGAACCGACTCGACGGCACTTAAGAACAACAACAATCTCTTAAAAGCAAGAAATCTTGGCCAAGTCACTAATACCTAAGAGCTCTAGTTTCCTAATTTGTAAAAAAGTAGTTTTTGTTCTTGTTGCTTAGTAGAGTAGAAGAAAGAAGAGGAAGTCTCAGTAAATATTATTAGCATGCCTTCTACTACTAATCTAAGTTTTTTTCTAATTTACCACCTTTGTTCATACCACCAGTATGTTCAGTAACTGCCTCTCATTTCTCTTCATTAAAAAATAACAAACCTCTAAACACAAAACACTTCTTATTTGTATAGTGCTTTATGGATTATAAGCAAATACATACTGATGCTTTCATTTACTCATGGCTACCAGGAGTCCTAGGAGCTCTGGTAGCGTAATGGTTATGAATTAGGCTGCGAACCATAAGGTCAGCAGTTTAAAACTACCAGCTGCTCCGCGGGAGAAAGATGAGGCTTTCTACTCCCGTAAGGATTTACACCCTCGGAAACCCTGTACAGGGTCGCTATGGGTCGGAACCGACTCGAAGGCACTTAACAACAACAACAACAACCAGGAGTCCTAGTGTGGCGCTGTGGGTTAATGCGTCAGACAGCAAAGCCACAAGGTCAGTGGTTCAAGCTCACCAGTCACTCCTCAGAAACCCTTTACAGGGTCGCTATGGGTCGGATCCAACTCGATGGCACTTAACAATAACAACAACAACAACAAACCAGGCTTTGTATCCTAATTTGGCAGAAAAATAAGCTAAATAGTTCACTCAACACCCATTTAGTAGCAAATGGCAGAGACAGTTAACATTTAACAGTTCAGGAACTCTTAAATTTGTTAGCTCTTAGCTGTGACTCAAAATCTGGATAAGTAGGATACTAAAATTCTAGTCAATAAGTTTTCATCATTTATACAATTTTAGGGGAAAACCTGAATCTAGGTGTTTATATGAACATTTAGCCTATATAAGAAGTTGAATAAATATGTCTTTTTTTTTTCCTCCTATTGGAAAATGGATAGAGGAAAGATCCTGGTCTTTTCCTATTCCTAGTGCATAGTAAAGGTAGCTAGCCAAGTTCTAACTGCTATAGATAGCGTCCCTGCATATACATAGAGTCCCAGGAGCTGATATCTTAACAGAATAAACACAAATGAAGTTGCTTTCTGAAACAAATGAGCTATATATTCAGTAATTTCTTACTCACTGTAAAATCAAAGCATTTAGAGATTTAATGCCTCTTAAGTCTTCTTTATCTATGTTAGTTTTCTAATCTTTGTGAGAAAAGTAGTTAAATATTTCAGTAACATACAAATATAAAAAATGCAGAAAATTATTTTTTAAAAATAAAAAATATTTTATTCAGAATTTTCCATTTAAGAGAAAAGATAAATAACAATGTTTACACGTTTTAATTATTTATTATTACACATATTTTAATCACTGTTCAATGTACATTCTAACAGAACAATAAAACCAGCATAAGAAATTGGTCAAGTATTTAAATAAGAATCGATTTTGTAAAAAAGCATTTAGTGAACTATGAAACACTACTAGTTGCTATTACAAACTTTTTCATGATTTTGAGCAAATAGTATATAAGCCTTGAGTGACTACAAATCAAGACATCTATGCTTTTTTTTGGAATCCTGGTGTGGCGCTGTAGGATAAGCATTGGACTGCTAACCATGATACTGAAGGTTCAAAGCCACCAGTCGCTGCTTAAAAACCTTATACAGGGTGGCTATGAGTCGGAACCGACTTGATGGCACTAAACAACAACATACTTTTTAAAATTCATATAGAATGTGTTCTTTCTGGTGAAATTTGGTGAATATAGAACAGCAGCTATATCACTTTTATCCATTTCTTAGAAATATAAAATTCTGATTTTAAAAGCTAAACTGCATAAGCAAACTGAAATTAGACTTTAAGAAATGACATGCTAAGATTTAAAAGGAATAGGATTAGAAAGAGAGGGGAACATAAATGTAGGGGCAGAGACCCTTAATGGTAATTTTAGTTTCTTAGCTTCCAGAAGACAGTGTTGACTATTAACGATCTCTAAAGCATCAAAAAAAAGTCCAAATGAAACATTAATAAAATTCTGCTTTGCATTTCCAGGGGTGGAGTGGGAAAATGAGTAAAAACTTTTGAGCTTAAAAAAAAAGAAAAAAATCCGTCTTCCTTAATAAGAGCAAACAATATATAATTATCATTTAGCAAACTCTTATCTACCAGTTTTTTGCTTCATCTCTTTTTACTTCTCCCTCACTATACTCAAATTATAGTGGAGTGTCTTTTTTAAAACACTTAAAAATCTTTCTCATATTCAATTTCCACTGCTGCAATTATGTTTCATATCTTTGCTTAAATACCTTCTTTGGCACCAACATTAGACTACTTCCCATTTCTTAAAAGCAGTTCCAATATTATGATTACATAGTTATCTGTGGCATTTAAAAAATTCCCTTCCCTTTTATTCAACTACAAGGTCCATGAGGGCAGTAGATTCTCTGTTCTGTTTAACACTTTGCTCCTAAACCCTAACATAGTTATGAGTTCAATAAATAGTTGTGAGATAGATCAACTAGAGAAAAGGGAAAAATTTACTAATTAACTGTGCTCCTAAACCCTAACATAGTTATGAGTTCAATAAATATTTGTGAGATAGATCAACTAGAGAAAAGGGAAAAATTTACTAATTAAACTTAAATTATCTACTTTATATATAATTACATTCTTATCTGTATATTAAAGCTGATCTTCAGTAACTTCAACAAAGCAAAAATTTGCTGATTTGGAATAGTACACATTAAAATACTACACTTCTGTTTTTTAATCCTGTAATTTATATTTTAACTTACTGACAATAGCCTTCCTTCAGTGTAAATTAGTGGTTTTATTAATTTACATCACACATGTTCACGGAATAAGTATAAATCATTAGATAAACACTACCACATGATAGGAGTCCTGGTGTGGAGCTGTAGGATAAGCACTGGACCACAAGTTCAGTTTGAACCACAGGGTCGGCAGTTCAAACTCACCAGTTGCTTCTTGGAAACCCTATACAGAGTCGCTATGAGTCAGACCTGACATGTCAGCACTTAACAACAACCACCACTTAACAGAAATTTTAAAAATGGTGTTGTATTACCAGAAAGTTCACAAAAACATACCAAAGAAAGTTGATTTCATCTTCTGAAACATCATATATTAAAAATAATAAAATGTAGCATGTTTGTTATTAATAATTTTCTGAACATTCTGTGTCAGACACTGTATTAAATGTTTTACATACATTTCCTCAGTTAGTCCTCAAAATAACCTTATGAAGTTGTAACTAAGATCTCCATTTTACTAAGAAACCAAGACACAGAGATTAAGTAATTTATTCAGTATTCCAGAAATGGAATGGGATTTGAACAAAGGTTGGCTGGATGTTGAAATTCATGCTTTTAATCTCAGGAGCAGAAATATTTCCTAAATTACCATTTTATCCTCTGAATTAATTAACAGGTAAACTGATCATTATAATAATGATAATTTTAATGCTACATTAAAATGATCAAATCAGCTCTGAAAACTTAGAATTGGATATTTTATATTGTGAGTACGAAGGACCCAAAGAAAACTAAAATAGTTCAAATCCACATGGCTAGCAAAAAATCTTTTTGACTACTAAGATCTATATAGGCAAATCATTATTAATTTATTTTATGCATAATGTATTTTTTCTTTGTTATTATTTGTGATGATTAATCTCTAAACTCCTTTTAATGTCAAGGCTTTGTTTTCAGAGTATGGTAATATAAAATGTCCTGTGGTATTTCTGAAAAACGTATAATGAATTATAAGCAAGAGAAATAAAACAAGTTGGGTATATGTATTATTCTTTTCTTTAAAATACAGCCAAGGCAAGATTTAAAATGTAACTGCTAAAGAAGTAATTTTCTGAGAAGGAGTATCGCCAGATTTAGGAGAACCCAATTCCATATTAATTTTTATTGTTTTAGAAATTGGATAGACTGATACTCTTCCTTTCTTCTTTATCCACATTAAATACAAACTTAAAAAGGTTTCCATATAAAATATGCCATAAAAATAAGTCCAAGACAGTTGTCTACTGTTTATTACACATGAATGCTGGGCAGACAGAACTGAATACCTAATAAATTTCTGTGTTATCTCTCTACTCATTTTTTCCAAATTAGTAGGTTAACCTCAGATTTCATTACGTTCAGTATAGTTAAAATGTACTACAAATAATCTACTCAAAGTGTTATGTGATCATGCAGAAAGGGAACACATACTCATTACAATCAACTTTATTCTGGTTTCAAAAACTGCCGCTTGGAAACAAGTTACAAGCAAAATCACACAAAACAGCACTCTTTGAGGGTAGCCTTAAAAAAAGTAATTGTCTGTATTGGTGATTTGTATATAAAACATTCAATATGAATTATTCTCCTATTTTAAGTGCATATATGAACTTCAAAGAAATTACCTTGCTTCTGTTCACAGTTGACAGCACAGCCTAAAATGAGTTGAAGCATCCTTCCAAGTTCTGCAGCATCAGAATGCTCCCCAATAAGGTTCACATCAGGAAGGGTAAAGTCATTAATTTGCTGTCCTAAAATCTGAATGGAGATTTTAAAAAATATATTAAAATTGCATTTACATTTAAATGATCAGATAAAATATTTGATAAGAGATTTGTTTGTCAGCACCAGAAACTCACTGGCAAGCAGAGAGACGTCAATCTCACTCACAGTTTTTGTTTACCTCCTATGTCTAAATCATTGCAACCTGAGTCACAACATACTGAGTACTCTCCATCCTTTCTCTGCCCAAGGAAAGACTGTATGCTCTCTGGAGAACTGAATCAGAGAGGCTCTGAACCAGAATACAAAATACGAGAGACAAAGGAATTCCCAGGATGAGGAGAAAAGCAACATCAGAACATCAGTTTACTTAAATAAGAACTCTACCTTCATGTACTTTACTGACCAGGGTAGAAAAACAAAATGAAATGAGCAAATGCACAAAGAAACAAACTACAAATTGGAGCGAGCATGATGCTAGCAGCCCTAGGACCGTAGGACCGAAGGGACTGGGGGTAGCTGTGCTGCCATGTCTGAAGGCAACAGCCACAGCCATGGCAGGGGCGGCTGCTGCTGGCAGGGCCTGGCCTAAGGCCTGGAATCGCACATCAACCTGGAGCAGCTACAGGGCCTAAATGAAAGCAGGATGCACAGAGGTCTTGGAGTCTTCAAGCTGTGGGGAGAGGACCCATAGCTCTAAGTTTGTTGAAAGTGATGCAGATGAGGCGCACCGTTTTAATATCCCATTTACAGGAAATGTCAGGAGTCCTGGTGTGGCACTGTGGGTTAATGTACTGGACTGCAAGGTCAGTTTGAACCACAAGGTCGGCAGTTTGAGCTCACCAGATGCTATGAGCTGGAACCAACTCGACACTCAACAAGAACAATCAACTGGTAATGACAAACTCAAAGGCAATATTACAATGGGAAAGGATGATGAACTGCACTCCTCTGAAACGAGACTGTATAAGAACATTCCACAGATGTCCTTTGATGATACAGAGAGCTAGACCAGACCTTTAGTTTGAACTAGGTCTAACCGAATTAAGAGTACACTACAAAAATTTCTCATTTTACAAATTTTCAATTTCTTGATTTTCTATCATCTCTCTAAAGTCCTGGTGTTGCACTGTGGGTTGATGCAAGGTCAGTTTGAACTTCAAGGATGCTAGTTCAAGCTCACTAGCCATTCTTCAGAAATCCTATATAGGGTCACTATACGTTGGAACTGACTCAACTGCACTTACCAACAACAACAAATCATCTCTCTATTCATGTTTCACAAAACTTTAGAGGACACAAAGGTCTTTTATATTGATTGGTCTGAGAGGAAAATGGATTGAGCTTCACAGACATGAGGTGACTATTTGCAATTATGAAGCATCAGTCAGCCCTACAGACCACAAAGACCATCAGGTTACCCACAGACACACTTCACTTCACTTCTTAAGGGCTGGCCCATGCTCCCAACAGAGACTAAAGCTTTGTCCCTCGGGACTTACTGTAGAAACTTGGCCTACAGAAGATACCACACCACTGTGAAGCTTGTGCGGCTGTAAAGAGAAAGTTATAGTTCTTTAGGTCACTTCGGAAATTGGGTCTTAAACTGGTCCAGCATCTGGCAATCATGGATAACACCTGCTTCACTAGTCTGAATGTGCCATGGGATCTCAAGTGTCTTACTGATTTGTGGCAAGATTTTTAAAAAAACAAACAAACAAACATGGAAATAATTCCTGGGCTATAGCTAACTTTCTGAAGTTTCTGGATGGTGTCTGTATTAGCCAACAAGGGTCTCCAATGAGAAACACTTGTCTCTGCTTTCTCTTCCCTGTCATTGCTTACCACTCTTGTCAAGTTGCCCAACTTGGAGTGTCTATCATGCACGAGTGTCCCATGGTTATAACTGGAAGGACAGAAATGTCTGGTGATACTTCACAGCTGGGGGAGAAGGTCTTTTCCCCCTACTGCCTCAGTAAGCAATCTGAGGAGAAATGGGAATTATTTCTGTGTCTGTGGGTGTCGTGGTGGAGGTGAGATAGGGACTTAGGAAAAATTCTCCTAAGGGAGATTCTTAATGCTTGTTAGTTTCTCACTCATATCTTAAGCTTAATGCCAGAATTTGAGTGTTTCTGTTCATGGCTTTTTATTCACTGTGACTAATAACCTTCCTAATGAATCCTTGCCAGACTTTAAAAAAAAGAAAGAAATATATTACAAATTGTAGTAGCTAGTAAGAAGGAAAAGAACATTGAACTATGAGAGAATAACCAGACTGGTAACAAATCACATGGTGGTTGTTGTTGTTGTTAGGTGCCATTGAGTTGATACCGACCTATAGCAACCTTATACACAGCTGAACTAAACACTGCCCAATCCTGGGACAACCTCACTACTATTGCCATGCTCAAGTCCATCAAAGTTGCCATTTTGCCAATCCATCTCATTAGGGGTCTTCCTCTTTTTCTCTGACCCTCCACCTTGCCAAACATGATATCCTTCTCCAGTGACTGGTCCCTCCTGACAATATGTCCAAAGTATGAGAGACGAAGTTTAGCCATCTTGGCTTCCAAGGAGCACTCTGGCTGTACTTCTTCCAAAATGGATCTACTGATTCTTTTAGCAGCCCATGGCACTTTCAGTATTCTCCTCCAACACCATAACTCAAAAGCATCAATTCTTCTCTGGTATTCCTTATTCACTGTCCAGCTTTCGCATGCATATGAGGTTATTTAAAATACCATGGCTTGGGTCAGGTGCACCTTAGTCTTCAAGGTGACATCTTTGCTCTTCAACACTTTAAAAAGGTCTAGTGCAGCAGATTTACCTAACGCAATATGTCGTCTGATATCTTGACTGCTGCTTCTGAGTGTTGATAGTTGATTCAAGAAGAATGAAGTCCTTGACAGCTTCAATCTTTTCTCCGTTGATAAGAATGGTGTTTATTGGTCCAGTGGTGAGGATTTTTGTTTTTTTTACATTAAGATATAATCCATACTGAAGACTGTGCTCTCTTTGATCCTCATCAGTAAATGTTTTAAGTCCTTTTCACTTTCAGCAAGCAAAGTTGTATCATCTGCATATCGCAGGTTGTTAAAGAGTCTTCCTTCAATCCTGATGCCACGTTTTTCTTCATATA